TATATATATATATATATATATATATATATATATATATATATATATATATATATATATATATATATATATATATATATACTTATATTATATTACATAGCTACCTGTTAAAAATTTATTGAAATCAACATCATCTGAAGGAGTCATCTGAAATCATCATCATCTGAAGGAGTAGAACATTGAGGAACTATATAAAAACAGTTAAAAAGAAATGTTGTTATTCCTATTTACGAACTTTTCATTATTCCTATTAGTTATTGAAAATCATCTTTGACACATCAGGTGCAAAGTTTTAACAAGAACTGAAGTAAAAATAACTGAATTATATACTTAAAGGAGCTACTGGCTTGGTAAAAGCTTGTGGATTTGCTAAGTTCTTCGAACCTTACATTGAACTTAATGTTTCTAAAAAATGTTAAATTTATTTATAATAATCATTAATATTATTACAATTTTACAATTTTTTCCTTTTAAAACTGCATATCCCCAATACACACACACACACACACACACACACACACACACACACCACACACACACACACACACACACACACACACACACACACACACACACACACACACACACACAAGCATATTTTAGGTAATATTTTACTAACTTTTCTCCAATGACTTTACTTGATTATTTTTTGGATTTTAGTGAAAAACAAGAACAAAGAAGGACTAACGGAGGTCCTAATCAAACTCCTATTCCATCACAGGATATTGAAAACATTCTCTAAATAATGCTACCGAAATCATTGAATCCGATTTTTCACCTTATGGGGATGATGCAATATTAGAAATATATATTTTATTTATATAAAGCCTTAGTTAAATGTAAATTTTTAGTATAAAACTATTGGTTCAGAAACTTTTTTTTCTTGCTTTTTTACATATTATTATTTACCCATTCTATAATGTTAATATTATTATATAGGTACTCCTATATAATAATATTAATAATATATACTCCAGCAAAAGCAACAAAATCAACAAATTGAACATGAAACTAAAATGGAAATTTACGAAAAGAAGTTGTTACAGTTACAATAAAAAGCAAACAAAATATTAATAATTATTTTATTAAATTATTTTATTTTTGTAAACAATGAACAAATGTTTCTTATTATATTTTTATGTCATATACTAACTTAAATGTTTATAAAAAGAATTGGTCACAATCTGATTTCTTATTGTTTCCCCTATAATATCTCGTGTACATGGTTCAGCACCGTTTTCATCATTATCATTTATTATTTCATCAAATTTTACTTCAAGATAAACATAAATGATTATTAAGAAAATGATGATTAAAAATTATTGTTGCGGCACCCGTTTAAAAAAAGGAGAATGAGGGGGAGGGGGAAATCAAAAACATACCCTCCCCCCCCTCAACGTTGCTGATCAAAGAACGGTATCCCCAAATAAACTCTGGGTTCTTCACTGATATCTGTGAACCTTCACACTATGTTTATATACAGTGTAATGTTTAACATGCCTCATTTAACAACTTTTTGTTTTATTATGGCAGGGTAATCCGCTGTAATTAACCGTGGTTGTGCTCCTTTTCTAGTTTAAGCAGGCTAAAGTTGGATCAACTATGACAGTTTTTTACGCTTTCTCTGTAAACAAATTCTGTGGCTTATTCTTATAGTAAAAATTAAGAACGCCGCTACGAGTTTCTTGCTTGTTTAACACCCAGAGCGACGAATCTTACAAATCTTAATAAGATTTCCTTATAAGATTCTTAGTAAGATTAGTAAGACTTGCAAGACGTGCAAGAAAACTAGTAAGATCTTAGTAAGATTTAAAAGATTTCGTGCGATTTACTAATAAGATTTGTAAGAAATGTAAAATCTTATAAAGATTTGTAAGTTTTCGTGCGGTTTCTTATTAAGATTTGTATGAAATGTAAGATCTTATTAATATTAGTAAAATTTATCTTAATTTCTTAGAAAGATTTACAGGGTTAGGGTTAGGGTTACAAGTTATAGTTTGAAATCTTAGTAAGATTTGTTAGATCTTATAAGATTATTTTGTATTTATTTCGATCCTACTATTTCCAAACATATTTTAGTGTAGAGAATGCTAATAAATAAAACAATTATGTACTTTAATTAATTTTTTCTCGAAACAAATTCATAATTAATAATACAACAGAGCTCATGTTAATAGTAAAATAAATAAAACTTATAATAAATAATACAACAAGTGACTTATGCAAGATTATTCCGTATTGCATAGACACTTTAAATAAGAAATTGTATTTAATAAAACCTTAAAATCTTAATAATGAATAGCCAAATGAATATTATTATTAATGCGCATAGTTACGCGTATAGTTTTATAGTTACGGTACGATTCTGCATCTGTAAAATACACTTTTTAAGTAGTTTCTAGACTTTTCTTTACCGCGTGCTCTCTTAAAGATTTCCTTTTAACCTTTCATGGTACGGGTTCAAAATGTCTAAGTTGACATTAAGGAGATAATGTTTAGTAGCCTAAAATTATAGGTAATCTAAAATTTTAATTTAAAAGTAATTAATTTATTGTAATCTTTTTTAAATTGTAATTTTAAATTTTAAGCTTCGTGTTATAGATTACTTTAATTCTTAAATTGTGTCTAGCGTTAAAATATATTTATGGGTAGTTTCATGCTTTCACTTAGTTTTGGTTATTGGGATAAAAGCCATGACAACATTTTGTTATAAATTTATCTTAATTTAATTTTTATTGAAAATTTTGTTAAAAATAAAATTTATCTTTAATATTGTTAATAGTTTTGCTCTTTGAAAAAAAATATGTTTCTGGCTCTTCAATAAATATATTTATGGGTAGTTTCATACTTTCAAATGCTTTTAATAATTGGGATAAAAGCCGAGACAACATTTTGTTATGAATAAAATTTATCTATAGTATTGATAATACTTTGGCTCTTTGAAAAAAAATATGTTTTTTTTCTTTTCAAAAAGTTTAATAATTTGCCTTGCGTGATTGAATTTTGGTTTAGGATATAATTGTGTTATTATATGTTTGTTTTTCTATTTATATCTAATTTATAAAGATTTTATTTATAGTTAAGATATATATAATTTATTTAATTTAAAATTAAGATATAAATTATCTAATTTATAAAGATTTTGATTATTAGAAAATTTATATCTACAGAGTTGTTATTAATCATAATTAAGTTGTTGAACCAAAAAAATTGTAGAGGTTTATTTATCAAATATACTATATATGTTATATAAAAAATTTTGGTTTTCTTATGTTTTCGCTTATAAATAGTTCTATATAAATATATATATATATATATATATATATATATATATATATATATATATATATATATATATATATATATATATATATATGTATATATATATATATATAATATATATATATATATATATATATATATATAGAACTATTTATAAGCGAAAACATAAGAAAACTAAAATTTTTTATATAACATATATATATATATATATATATATATATATATATATTATATATATATATATATATATATATATATATATATATATATAGAACTATGTATATCCTTGGAGTTGCGGCAGCGTAATAGTGTATTGGGGGAAAAAAATTTATAAACCTGCGTTAATAACCCGTTTTCTATTAGACAAAACGCGTTAATAAGTTTTATTACACGTTTTGTTCAATGTTTTCTCCCAACGCATGCCTTATGACGCTGTCTGCGAAGATATGTTGTTTGTTTCTAAATTTTTTTTTCTTTATTAGAAACAGAATAAATTTTAACTTTTTGCATTAAGTTTTTGCTAATATGGTTGCAGGTTTTTCTTAACTTTTATCAAATAAACTTGAGAAACTTGTATTACTTTTGATAATGGCAAATTAATTTTGTTTTGCATTAGTTTGGATTCTTTATATATTTGTTTTGAGAATTTTTTTTTTTAATTTTTTGAGTAAGATTTTTTAAATTATTTATTAATTTTTTTTATTTTATTGTTAACTTTAGAGTAGTAAAAAAAAGAAATAATTAGTGTTGCTTTGATAAATATGTTTAATCAAAATGATGACATTGAAATGAATGAAAGGCTAGATGAAGTTATGTATTTACAAAATGATGTAAGGCATATAAGGCGTGTTGAAAATAGTCGTAGACGAAATGAAAGAAATAGACTTAGGCGAGATGAAATTAATCATTTACAAAATGAAAGAAATAGGCTTAATCAAGAAAACGTTAATCGTCGCCAAAACGAAATAAATAGGCTCGATCGAGATAATGTTAATCGTCGCCAAAATGAAAGAAATAGGCTCGATCGAGATAATGTTAATCGTCGCCAAAATGAAAGAAATAGGCTCGATCGAGATAATGTTAATCGTCGCTAAAATGAAAGAAGCGCTGTTGTACAAGGACGAATGTATTCTATAGCGAGAAGTAATGCTATTCCAGATTATAATTATTTAGGAGAAATGAATCAAATTTGTCAGCACTATGGTGCTAAGAAATTTCCAGATGAAACACATTTTCTATGTTGCCATAATGGTAAGGTAGCTTTGCCTCCACTTTCACCAATTACACAAGCATTACAGGATTTGTTTACAGGGAGTTGTGTAGATCGTAATGCTTATGCTAATTTTTTAAAACATATTCGAAATTATAATGCCTGCCTTTCTTTTGCTTCTTTTACAGCAAATGTAGTTCAACCTATGAATCATGGGCTTCCATGTTTTAAAATATGTGGCCAGATTTTTCATCGTGTAGGTAATCTTGGGCGAAAACAAGATATTCCACCAATATATTCTCAACTATATATTTATGATCCACTTGCTGCACTAAATTTTAGAATGCAACACCGTGGTAATGATCTTTGTTGACTTGATTTAATGCTTCAATTGCAAACTATAATTATCGAACAAAGTCCATTTGCTCTTGCATTTAAAAACATGGCTGAAGTAGAAGATGAAGAAATTCGTAAGGCGGCTATAGAAGGTCGCTCAGCTTCTGTTGTAAAAATGTCTTTATTTGAAGGCGGTGATAGACGTCGTTATAATCTACCTTCACATGATGAAGTTGCAGTTGTATTTGTTGGCGAAGATGGTGCTCCCCCAACTTCCAGGAAAGTTGTTATTTACCCAAGAGGTCATCCTTTAAAAATTGTATCAAGTATGTCAGCCAACTTGGATCCTATGGTTTATCCGCTATTTTTTCCAAGAGGTGATGCTGGTTGGCATAATCAAATTGGTGCATAACCCTGAGCGTGTCACACTGGTTAGAAATCATGTTACATTATCTCAGTTCTACAATTATAGACTTTCTGTTAGGCAATTTTTCTGTTCATTATTTTATGGCAAGAAACTATTTCAGCAATATGCGGTAGATGCATATGTAAAAATTGAAGGCCAGCGTCTTGCTTTTATCAGAAATAATCAAAATAAGCTGAGAAGCGAGCAGTACGATGCCTTACATGAACATATTAACAACTATGCCAATGATCGTAATATTAGACCACGACAAGTAGTAGTTTTGCCATCATCTTATGTAGGAAGTCCTAAAGCTTTAAAAGAAAACTCTGAAGATGCTATGGCAATTATTAAAAAGTATGGTAAACTAGATCTTTTTATAACTTTTACTTGCAACCCAAAATGGCGTAAAATAACAGAAAATTTATATCCGGGTCAGAATGCGAATGATAGACCTGATTTGGTTACTCGAGTATTTAAACTCAAGTTAAATAACCTCCTCAATGATATATTCAAACATGTTGTATTAGGCAAAGTTGTAACGCATGTTCAGGTTATTGAGTTTCAAAAGTGTGGTTTGCCGCATTCCCACATTTTACTTCATTTAGCAAATGATGATAAACTTGAATCATCACAGGATATCGATAATTTGATTTGTGCAGAAATTCCAGATCCGATAGTTAATTGGGAACTTTATGATATTATCAAAACTTGCATGATTCACGGCCCATGTGGGATACTGAATCCAAATTCTCCCTGCATGAATGATGGGGTGTGCAGCAAAAAATATCCTAATGATTTTAATGCCAACACAGTAGCTGTTCACAATGGTTATCCGCGCTATAGGCGTCGTGATAATGGGTTGGTTATCAATATTAAAGGCAACAATGTAGATAACCGTTGGGTGGTACCTTATAATCGTTGGTTATCAAAGAAATATCAAGCCCACATTAATGTTGAAGCTTGCATGTCTGTAAAGGCTGTTAAATATTTGTATAAATACATATACAAAGGGCATGATTGTGCGAATGTTTTGATAAATGAACAGGTTAATCACGATGAAATAAACACTTTCTTAGATTGTCGTTATGTTAGTGCACCTGAGGCACTGTGGCGAATATTTGAGTATCCCATAAGTCATATGTCACACTCTATTATCCGTCTTAAGGTTTATCTTCCTGAGAATCAGATTGTGTATTTTAGAGAAGGAGAAGAACAAGTGGCGTTAGATCGCTGCTCAACGTGATACACACCTTACGGCCTGGTTTAAATTGAAATCTGAAAATGAAGGAGCCAATCGCTATTCATATGTTGACATTCCATATCACTTTGTATTTGATGATAAACATTGTAAATGGAAGGTTAGACAAAGAGGTGGAAATAAGGTGATAGTAAGAATGTATAAAGTTAGTCCAACAGGAGAATTATTTTTTCTTAGTTTGTTACTTTTACAAGCAAAAGGAGCAACATCTTGGGAGGATTTGCGTACTGTTAATGGAATAGTTATTGAAACCTTTAGTGAAGCGTGTGTTTTTAATGGTTTGTTGCAAGATGACACTGAATGGCAGAATACTCTTTCTGAGGCAGTTTTAACGCGAATGCCCAAGCAAATCATGCAGCTGTTTTTAATTATTTTAACCTTTTGTGAACCTGATGACCCTTTGCATCTTTGGAATTCATACAAAGCTTTTATGATGGAGGATTTCATTCATCGCCAAGTTCCATTTACATTAGCTGAACAAGCTACTCTTCTTCAAATCGAAAAGATTATTAATCAAAGTGGTAAAACGCTATCTGATTATAATTTGCCTGTCATTCTTTTTGGCGTTGACTTTAGGAAAATTTTGCCTATTGTGAAAAGAGGGAGACCAGCTGAAGTTGTAGAATCATGTATAAAATGTTCTTTACAGTGGCAATGGGTGCAGAAGTTTACATTAATGAAAATATGAGAGTACGTGATGGAGAAGGAGATTTTTCCGAATGGCTGTTAAAACTTGGTAGTGGAACAATACCTGTCAAGGAGGAAGATCCTTTTAAGGGATGTACTGAAATACCGCAACAGTGCATTATTAGAGAAAACGAGTCAATTGTTGAAAAAATATTTGGAGATGTTCAAAAAGATGATTATGCTAAACGTGTCTTTTTAACACCCATTAATGTGGATTCATTGTCAATCAATAAAGAAGTGCTTGAACGTCTACATGGAGAGGTCAAAACTTATTTAAGTGCTGATCAAATAGACACTGACGATCTTAATGAAATAAATAATTTCCCTGTTGAGTTTTTGAACAGCTTAACTCCTTCAGGTATGCCTACTCGTTGTTTAAAATTGAAATAAAATTGGATGTGTAATTATGCTACTTAGAAATTTAGATCTTAAAGCTGGGCTATGTAGTGGAACCCGAATGAAAATTTGTGCTCTCCAAAACAATTATATTGATGCAGAGGTTTTGACAGGTGTTTCTGAAGGTAAACGGGTATTTGTTCCTCGAATTCAGTTGCCTCCATCAGATTCTAATTTACCTTTTGTTCTATAACGTCGTCAGTTTCCTGTCAGATTGGCTTATTCGATGACAATCAATAAAAGTCAAGATCAAACATTTGATAGAATTGGGGTATATCTAAAAAAACCGTGTTTCTCCCATGGTCAACTATACCTTGCATGTTCAAGAACTAAAGCATTTAATAGTTTGTTTTTCAAAATTGATAAACATCCTATTCAAGGTATGGTAGGTGAAAATTACTACACAAATAATATTATATTTTCTAATGTTCTTAATTTATAGTTTTAATATTTTCATTTCTAAAATTTACTGTTAGTAGGTTGTGAGCACATTTTGTATGTGTAACTTTATTATTTTTATTTTTTTCATAGTTTTTAATAAATATATTTGTCATTTAATATTGTTATATATTGTTTTTATATATGTTATATGAAGTCATATTTGTTTATAGTTGTATATAGGTTTACGTTATGTTGTTTCCATGTTTTCAAAGTGGTGTGACTTGGCAAAATGTTAAGCAAGATCGTTAACCTTGCCAGCCAAGCAATGTACTTATAGCAGAGGTGTGACTTGGCAGCATTTTGTGCCAGGCGGTGTTACTGCTTTAGAGCTAGGTTGTGTTGTCTAGCTTTTTTTAATTATTCTGGAAACACATAATGTCTGGTAGTGTTTTGTGTAATGTGTATAGAAGAGCATGCAAACTTAATCCTTAAATTTGAAATAATTGAATAACTAATATTGAATAATAAAGCAAATATACAAAATTAAAGTTTAGTAAAAGGATAAATATAGATAACTTAAAATTGGTTTTTTAGTTTTGCCTTTCATATTATTTCAAAATTGGTTTGTTATTTTCCACTGGATTTTAGAGTCAAGGGTGTAAATATTAGTTGTATAGGTGTGAATATGTGTTAATATTATGTGTTATTGTTATAATGTTGTAATGTATTGTTATAATGTATAATATTGTTATATTGTTGTGATGTTTTGTGTTGATAGACAGCTTGGCTGACCTTTCCGTTGGTGTCTATCGTTAAAAATGAATAATAGATAGTTTCATTATTGGAACTTGCTTCTTCTATTCATTTACTAAAAGCTAAGACAAAATTTTGCTAAAAATTCAATTTATGTCTTTATTTGATTTTTTTTTCTTTAGTATTGTTAATCCTTTAGTATTTCGAAAAAGATTTTATAGCTACCTTTTCTATAAATGTTTATATTAACTGCAATATCAAAAGGTTACAAAAACAGGTAAATCAATTTTCAGTGTTTTTATGTGGTGTTATATATATATATATATATATATATATATATATATATATATATATATATATATATATATATATATATTTATATATGATGTTATAATCCCGTTATTTTTTTTTTTATTTTAGATTTTACCATATGACGTATTAATACAATATAAAAAAAAAAAAAAAAACTTTATTTCCTAAGTTTGTAAAATTTTGTTCGTTTGTTAAAAAGATTTAAAGTCATTTTTATATATATTTTTTTCTGATGTTTTCCCTATCTTATGCTTTAATAATTCGTTGTTAAAAACACAGGGAGACTTGCAGTTTGTCAAATATTAAGTTGATTAGTTTAGTCTGCAATTGCAACACTTTTGAGTAAACAAAAAAGTCTTATATATGTAAATCGTTTTTTTACGCTTTATTATTTTGGTAAAAGGTCTTCATCATAAATAGATTACTCTTAATAAAAAAAACTCTACTCACATGGCTACCATTAGAACAAAAAAAGGAAGGGGCTCTTAATTACGGAGATGTCAAATTATTGACGAAACCGAAACTTCGAGTAATAAAAGGAATATTTAGTAAATGGCAGCAAATTACTTTACCGTTTGCAAAAAATTAGTGAAATAAAGAGGCCATCTATTCAATATAGAAATGGTCAGAGTTTAGAAGGCTTAACATGACCGGGTACGGTTAGCTTTGTTTGCAAACATGAGATTATGTCACGTTAACAACCTCAAAAGTCAATTTAAAACATGTTTAGTAGCAAAATGTGATATATACAAGTATAAATGTAATAGTATAGTAATACTCTTTTATGATTTTTAGCTAATAAAATGGATTTAAGACTAGATTGATATTGGTTTCCTGTTAAACCGCAGTAAAAAAAACTTAGAAGGCTATTTGGCCCCGACAGAATATGCGACAAGTATGTATTTAACTCATTTACACAAAAATGGAATTAAGACAAGTTAGCTCCTAAAATTGTCTATATGTACAGATATGTTTATTGCACATATTAGTAAATAAACTGATTAGTTGCGTAATGAGTTTAAATTTTAGCCATTTTTTAAAGTTGATAATCATAACGTACTTAATTAAACATGCGTGATGTAATTTGCATAGCTAAAGTTAAATGCTCTTTTACTTTAGCTACTGCGCTCAGTGATGCGCATTTTGGTTTGTACGCAGTTTTTCTTCTGTTCTGGAATTTTGAGATTGGATTTTCCAGACTTATTTTAAAAAGCGCGTTTTCGTTATAAATTTTCTTTACATCTAATCGTACCTATCAAGTAGGTCTTATTCTGTATAATCAATTCAATCGTTTTCATTTTTTATGTTTTAACATGTCTATTACCTTTATTAAATTTGTTTTTAAGCATATTTAACTTTACAATATTAAAATGGTTTAAACGAACTTGTACGAATTTTTGTATTTAAATTTAATCCTCAAAGATTATTTTTTTTTTTATTATTGAAGAAATTAAACTAGATTTAAGAATGAGTCGACTTAAATGTTTGTTTGTTTTTCTATTTATATGGTGATAATATTGGAGCAAGTAAGTTAAAAAGCATTTTTAAATTTTTAAAAAGAAATAAAAATTCTTTTTAATATATATCTGTTTTCTTCGAGGTAGATTTAAAATTTCAGGTTTTTAAAATCATATATATTATAATATTAAATTCTTTTTTACTTTAAAAATATCTATATAATAGTTACACTGAGTCGTAGAAAAATAGTTAAAGTTTATTAATAAGGTAGTAGATTATTAGAGTAGATTATTAGAGTAGATTAAATTGTTTGATCTATTAATCAACTTAATAACGTACTATTAAAGTGAAGATTTATTTCGGTTGTTTGTTTGTTAAAATTTAGATAGAGTTTATTTAAAATTTAAATTCTTTAGTTAATCAAGAGAGATCTAATAAAGGCATTAATTACATTAGTTGAATGTTGCATTTAATATGTATTTTATCGATATTTTAACGTCTAAACATTAAAGTGCTTTTATTGTTTAGATACAGAAGTGATGAAGGAATTAAGTCAGTGTTTTTGCTATTAGATATTTGTTAATAGGAAATTGTTAATTTGTACTGCCACTGGAATTTTAAAAAATAAAGTTCTTTAGCTTTATTTTATACTTTCTTTTAGGGGAGTTGGAACAAAAACTAAGTATAAATTATGATTAGTTTAGTTTAATAAATAAAGCATTAATATTTAGAAGATTTAAAGTTTGCTTTAGTTTATTGTTTTGGTTTAGTTTATAGTTTTTAGCTTTAGTTATTTTTTTCTTACTTTCGGCAACTTTATGGATGAAATGAGGGGGATGGGTAAAATAATTATTTAGATATGTATATATTTACATGTTAGCATTATTTTATCGATTATTATATACTAGCTGTAAGCAACCCGTAATACGGGTTAGTAGTATATAAATCATTACTAACAATTTGGTATTTATTTACTTTCTCTAATAAAATATAAATTTATTTATACAGTAAGCAACCCGTAATACGGGTTAGTAGGAAATAAATCATTACTGTCAATTTGATCTTTATTTACTTTCTCTAATGAAATATAAATTTATTTATACTTTTTTTTTAGTTGAGCTCACTTTTATTTTTCTTGGCTTTTTAGTTTAAGAGAACTCTTAGCTTCATTAAAGATAAAGTTAACCATAAAATGACTTAAACTATATGCACAGAAAATTGATGTCAAATTTTCAAATTCCGTAAAATAGTTTAGGTAAATATTGGGAATATATTCTGCTCTTAATTTTGCTTTAAGCTGAGTCGTTTCTTTATTTTTTAAACTTTTCATTTTACTGAGTGAAGAGCTTCAAAATATGTCACTATCGCACCTGAACCTTTTAAATGTTATTAATATATTTTTTAAAACCTCTAAAATATTACACCCAAACTTGTAGGCATAGAAGTTGGATATCCGGAAAAACTATAAGTTGAAAAATATATCGCAATTCCGAAAAGGGCTTACCCTGCATACGAATCCTATCTAAATATTAATAGCCGAATGAATGATAAAGATTATTATTTAAACCAACCTTTTTTTTATATAGTAATCCAGCAGTAACTTGTTTATAAAAAAACAAAGGAATATATGGATTTACTATAATAGCTAACGTGTATCATATTTATTTCAGCATACATCCAATCCATATTTATACTAATTTTATAAAATACATTTTGCCTTAACTTGGCGTTAGATTATTAGTTTTATTTCATTAATTTTTGTATAGATCAGGTTAATAATAAAAGCAATTGGATTTTACTCAATATTTTTGAAGTGATTATTCAGCTTTAATAAAATTGATAAAGTCATAAAAGACAGTTAAAAAATATATTTAAACCTTTGTTCACTTTTTGAAAATCCGTAAAAAAGCAAGTATCAAGTTTACTTATCTTTAAAAGAAATTTATTTACATGATATATAGTTAAATATGTAACAAAAATATTTTAAAACAGAAGCATATATAAAACACATTTTTCTTAAAAAAACAAAGTTGAAGCCACTATTTACAGCACCGAGGAGCCAAGCATTGCCTATTGTAAAGAAAACCATATCAAATAATTTAAAATATTTATTACCGATAGGGACGACAATTAAACATATTTAAAAAGCTACGTGATTCCATATTAGTAGAATTGTTATAGAAAAGTATATTAAAAAAGTATATTTAAAAAAAAGTGTATTAAATAGAAAACAGATTTTTAAAAACTACCTAATTTTGTAAGCATTTTGCCAATGATGTTCAATTTTAAAACCAATATCTTTAATGAAAAGCCGACTTGTTTCACTAAAATCATTTAAAGAATAAAATTATCAACACTTAAAGATAAAGAAAAAAAAAATGAATGAGATATAAACAATCGTACTATAGTATTATGAATATTTCACATTATATATGAAAAAAAAACAACAACTGGAAAACAGTATACCTGCTTTTGGTAACCTATTGTGATACTGCAGCAGTTGCTGTAGGGATGCAGCTGTTCTTTTTAGTGTTGTTCAAAAACGTAATTTTTATGTTGGCTTTTAGTAAACTTTAGTTTAATTTAAAAGACATCACAACGGATTTAAAATATTCATAATAAAAAGAGCAAAACATAAAATGCTTTAAGGAGCTAAACTATAAACATAAAAGATAAAGAATAGAATCGAGATAAATAAATTGTACTAATATAGCTAAATATAATGCCTTGGGTTTTGGTAAATTTTAAAAGCAGTACCCAATAATTGTTTTTAACAAAAGAATGCAGCATCATTATATTATGATAATTGGATAATGAATCAATTCAACTTTCGACTTTAGAATTTAGGGAGGGGTATTTAAGAGGGCTTCAAATTTGAAGTCAGGTTTAATGGGTGAGAAAACAATTAAAAATTTTATTAAAAAAGATTAAAACAAATCAAATATACAACGTAATATATTTAAAAAAAAAATTACAAGTATTTAATAAAAAAACACCAAAACAAAAAATTACATAATTAAAAAAAAAAAAAAAAACCCGAAGAAAAAGCAGCTACTAAAAAGTCATAAATATCTCTACTGATAGAAGACATTTACAACCTTTTGGTTGCTGTTTTTTCTTCGGTGTCTCCCAACACCCCGGTATGGATGAGCCCTCCATTTAAAGGAGGGCTCATCCATACCGCCATTACGTTTCAATTTATTGAAGGACCTCTCTGAGAGAGGTCCTGGGTGTTGGGAGCGATAACTTTGGTATTGTTCGAATGATAAGATATCTAAAGTTACAAATAGAAGAGTATAATAAAAATTATACATTTGCAATTATTAAAAAAAAAAAAATTAGCATAACCTCACCATTTTCATTCGAAACAGAAGATGCTAAAAAAAAACAAAAAAAACAGCAAATTAATAAGGGTTAAACATGCAATATTTTGTATTTTAATAAATATATAGGGCAATAATGCAACCAGTTCAAAAGTGTCATATTTATTAATTAATTTTTTCACCTATTGCATATATTTCTCCATATAAAATATATAAAATATAAAACACAGTCCTACCAGCTATACTTCCACCTGACACTAAAGACAAATATATACTTAAATAAATATATAATAATCGATAAAATAATGTTAACATATAAATATATACATATCTAAATAATTGTTTTACCCATCCCCCTCATTTCATCCATAAAGTTGTCTAAAGTAAGAAAAAAATAACTAAAGCTAAAAACAAAACTATAAACTAAACCAAAACTATAAACTAAAGTAAACTTTATCAAAATAAAAAGTAAATCTTCTAAATATTAATGCTTTATTTATTAAACTTGACTAATCATAATTTATACTTAGTTTTTGTTCCAACTCCCCTAAAAGAAAGTATAAAAAAAAAGCTAAAGAACTTGATTTTTTAAAATTCCAGTGGCAGTACAAATAAACAAATTCCTATTAACAAATATCTAATAGCAAAAACACTGACTAATTTCTTTCTTCACTTCTGTATCTAAACAATAAAAGCACTTTAATGTTTAGACGTTAAAATATCGATAAAATGCATATTAAATGCTACATTCAACTAATGTAATTAATACCTTTATTAGATCTCTCTTGATTAACTAAAGAATTTAAATTTTAAATAAACTATAACTAAATTTTAACAAACAACCAAAATAAATCTTTACTTTAATAGTACATTATTAAGTTGATTAATAGATCAAACAATTTAATCTACTCTAATAATCTACTACCTTATTAATAAACTTTAATTTTTTTTCTACGACTCAGTGTAACTATAATATGGATATTTTTAAAGTAAAAAAGAATTTAATATTATAATATATATGATTTTAAAAACCTGAAATTTTAAATCTACCTCGAAGAAAACAGATACATATTAAAAAGTATTTTTATTTCTTTTTAAAAATTAAAAATGCTTTATAACTTACTTGTTCCAATATTATCACCAACGTCTAAATAGAAAAACAAACAAACATTTAAGTCGACTCATTCTTAAATCTTATAATATATATGATTTTAAAAACCTGAAACTTTAAATCTACCTCAAAGAAAACAGATATATATTGAAAAGTATTTTTATTTCTTTTTAAAAATTTAAAAATGCTTTTTAACTTACTTGCTTCAATATTGTCATCATCTAAATAGAAAAACAAACAAACATTTAAGTCGACTCATTCTTAAATCTAGTTTAATTTCTTCAATAAAAAAAAAAATTTAATCTTTAAGGATTAAATTCATTTACAAAAGTTTGTAATAATAATAAAAAAAGTTTAATCTTTGAGGATTAAATTCATTTACAAAAGTTCGTATAAGTTCGTTTAAACCATTTTAATATTGTAAAGTTAATTCAAATTAACAAACATATAAATGCAATTTATAACATTTGGTTATAAAAAAATGAAAGAAAACTTACTTCTTAGTAATTCAGCAACTAAAAATAAACATATATTTAAGAACTAACACAATAACATTATACATCTGTAACATAATACACATCTAAATAAATACAAACCTTCATCTTCAATCTGATTCATTCTATTAATTCGATATAAAAAATAAAAACTAATATGCTTAAAAACAAATTTAATAAAGGTAATAGACATGTTAAAACATAAAAAATGAAAACGATTGAATTGATTATACTGAATATGACCTACTTGATAGGCACGATTAGATGTAAAAAAAATTAAAACGAAAACGCGCTTTTTAAAATAAGTCTGGAAATTCTAATCTCAAAATTCCAGAACAGAAGAAAAACTGCGCACAAACCAAACTGCGCAACACTAAGCGCAGTAACTAAAGTAAAAGAGCATTTAATTTAGCTATGCAAATTACATCACGCATGTTTAATTAAGTACGTTATGATTATCAACTTTAAAAAATGGCTAAAATTTAAACTCATTACGCAACTAATCAGTTTATTTACTAATAAGTGCAATAAACATATCTGTACATATAGATAATTTTAGGAGCTAACTTGTCTTAATTCCATTCTTGTGTCAATGAGTTTAATACAAACTTGTCGCATATTCTGTCGGGGCCAAATAGCCTTCTAATTTTTATTTACTGCGGTTTAACAGGAAACAAAAATCAATCTAGTCTTAAATCCATTTTATTAGCTAAAAAATGATAAAAGAGTATTACTATACTATCATATTTATACTTGTATATATCACATTTTGCTACTAAACATGTTTTAAATTGACTTTTGAGGTTGTTAACGTGACATAATCTCATGTTTGCAAACAAAGCTAACGGACCCGGTCATGTTAAGCCTTCTAAACTCTGATTATTTCTATATTGAATAGATGGCCTCTTTATTTCAATAATTTTTCGCAAACGGTAAAGTAATTTGCTGCCATTTACTAAATATTCCTTTTATTACTCGAAGTTTCGGTTTCGTCAATATTTTGACATCTCCGCTAATTAAGAGCCCCTCCCCTTTTTTTGTTTTAATGGTAACCATGTGAGTAGAGTTTTTTTTATTAAGAGTAATCTATTTATGATGAAGACCTTTTACCAAAATAATAAAGCGTAAAACAACGATTTACATATAAAAGAATTTTTTCTTTCCTCAAAAGTGTTGCAATTGCAGACTAAACTAATCAACTTAATATTTGACAAACTGCAAGTCTGCAAGTGTGTTTTTAACAACGAATTATTAAAGCATAAGATAGGGAAAACATCGGAAAAAAATATATATAATAATGTCTTTATATCTTTTTAACAAACGAACAAAATTTTACAAATTTAGAAAATCAAGTTTTTTTTTTTTAATATTGTATTAATACGTCATATGGTAAAATCTAAAATAAAAAAAAAGAACGGAATTATAACATCATATATAAATATATATATATATATATATATATATATATATATATATATATATATATATATATATATATATATATATATATATACACACACACCACATATAAACACTGAAAACCGATTTACCTGTTTTTGTAACCTTTTGATATTGCAATTAATATAAACATTTATAGAAAAAAGTAGCTATAAAATCTTTTTCGAAGTACTAAAGGATTAACAATACTAAAGGAAAAAAAAATCAAATAAAGACATAAATTGAATTTTTAGCAAGATTTTGTCTTGGCTTTTAGTAAATGAATAAAAGCAGCAAGTTCCAATAATGAAACTATCTATTATTCATTTTTAACGATAGACACCAACGGGAAGGTAAGCCAAGCTGTCTATCAACACAAAACATCACAACAATATAACAATATTATACATTATAACAATACATTACAACATTATAACAATAACACATAACATTAACACATATTCACACCTATATAACTAATATTTACACCCTTGACTCTAAAATCCAGTGGAAAATAACAAACCAATTTTAAAAGAATATGAAAGGCAAAACTAAAAAACCAATTTTAAGTTATCTATATTTATCCTTTTACTAAACTTTAATATAGTGTATTTGCTTTTATATTCAATATTAGTTATACAATTATTTTTAAATTTAAGGATCAAGGTTGCATACTCTTTTATACACATTACACAAAACATTACCAGACATTATGTGTTTCCAGAATAATTAAAAAAAGCTAGACAACACAACCTAGCTCTAAAGCAGTAACACCGCCTGGCACAAAATGGTGCCAAGTCACACCTCTGCTATAAGTACACCGCTTGGCTGGCAAGGTTAACAATCTTGCTTAACATTTTGCCAAGTCACACCACTTTGAAAACATGGAAACAACATAATGTAAACATATATACAACTATAAACAAATATGACTTCATATAACACATATAAACACAATATATATAACAATATTAAATGACAAATATATTTATCAAAAACTATGAAAAAAATAAAAATATTAAAGTTACACATACAAAATGTGCTCACAATCTACAAACAGTAAATTTTAGAAATGAAAATATTAAGACTATAAATTAAGAACATTAGAAAATATAACATTATTTGTGTAGTATTTTTCACCTACCATACCTTGAATAGGATGTTTATCAATTTTGAAAAACAAACTATTAAATGCTCTAGTTCTTGAACATGCAACGTATAGTTGACCATGGGAGAAACACGGTTTTTTTAGATATACCCCAACTCTATCAAATGTTTGACCTTGACTTTTATTGATTGTCATCAAATAAGCTAATCTGACAGGAAACTGACGACGTTTTAGAACAAAAGGTAAATTAGAATCTGATGGAGGCAACTGAATTCGAGGAACAAATACCCGTTTACCTTCAGAAACACCTGTCAAAACCTCTGCATCAATATAATTGTTTTGGAGAGCACAAACTTTTATTCGGGTTCCATTACATAGCCCAGCTTTAAGATCTAAATTTCTAAGTAGCATAATTACACAACCAATTTTCAATTTTAAACAATGAGTAGGCATACCTGAAGGAGTTAAGCTGTTCAAAAACTCAACAGGGAAATTATTTCTTTCATTAAGATCGTCAGTGTCTATTTGATCAGCACTTAAATAAGTTTTGACCTCTCCATGTAGACGTTCCAGCACTTCTTCATTGATTGACAATGAATCCACATTGGTGGGTGTTAAAATGACACGTTTAGCATAATCATCTTGTTGAGCATCTCCAAATATTTTTTCAACAAATGATTCGTTTTCTCTAATAATGCACTGTTGCGGTATTTCAATACATCCCTTAAAAGGATCTTCCTCCTTGCCAGGTATTGTTCCACTACCAAGTTTTAACAGCCATTCGGAAAAATCTCCTTCTCCATCACGTACTCTCATATTTTCAGTTAATGTAAACTTCTGCACCCATTGCCACTGTAAAGAACATTTTATACATGATTCTACAACTTCAGCTGGTCTCCCTCTTTTCACAACAGGCAAAATTTGCCTAAAGTCACCACCAAAAAGAATGACTTTTCCTCCAAATGGAAAGTTGTTGTTGCAAACATCTTTTAACAACCGATCGATTGCATTTAAAGCGTGTTTGGGAATCATGGATGTCTCGTCAAGCATAAACAAACTAACTTGCCTTAAAAATTGTCCCTGAATAGAGTTAGGAGTCACATTACATGTGCTGTTATCCAGTATTGGGACAGGAAGTTTAAATAACCCGTGCAGCGTAGATCCATTTGTAAGAAGAGTTGCTGCTATGCCAGTCCATGCAGCTGTAGCAGATTTAACACCCCTACTGCTCATTTCAGCAATCAAATAATTATATGTAAAAGTTTTACCACTACCAGCTGGTCCATCCATAAAAAACAATCTGGAATGTTGATTTTCTACACATGGTTGCTCATTCAATGCAGCAAGGACAGCATTACTTACATTTAATTGATTGACATTAAGAAGCGGTCTCATTCGATTAGCTTTGTCAATTGATTGCTGAACATTATCATTTTAATTTTCTAGATTAAAATCTATGAATTCATCAACAACAGGCAAATTATAATCAGATAGCGTTTTACCACTTTGATTAATAATCTTTTCGATTTGAAGAAGAGTAGCTTGTTCAGCTAATATAAATGGAACTTGGCGATGAATGAAATCCTCCATCATAAAGGCTTTGTACGAATTCCAAAGATGCAAAGGGTCATCAGGTTCACAAAAGGTTAAAATAATTGAAAACAGCTGCCTGATTTGCTTAGGCATTCGCGTTAAAACTGCCTCAGAAAGAGTATTCTGCCATTCAGTGTCATCTTGCAACAAACCATTAAAAACACACGCTTCACGAAAGGTTTCAAGAACTATTCCATTAACAGTACGCAAATCCTCCCAAGATTTTGCTCCTTTTGCTTGTAAAAGTAACATCTAAGAAAAAATAATTCTCTTGTTGGACTAACTTTATACATTCTTACTATCACCTTATTTCCACCTCTTTGTCTAACCTTCTATTTACAATGTTTATCATCAAATACAAAGTGATATGGAATGTCAACATATGAATAGCGATTGGCTCCTTCATTTTCAGAATTCAATTTAAACCAGGCCGTAAGGTGTGTATCACGTTGAGCAGCACGATCTAACGCCACTTGTTCTTCTCCTTCTCTAAAATACACAATCTGATTCTCAGGAAGATGAACCTTAAGACGGATAATAGAGTGTGACATATGACTTATGGGATACTCAAATATTCGCCACAGCGCCTCAGGTGCACTAACATAACGACAATCTAAGAAAGTGTTTATTTCATCGTGATTAACCTGTTCATTTATCAAAACATTCGCACAATCATGCCCTTTGTATATGTATTTATACAAATATTTAACAGCCTTCACAGACATGCAAGCTTCAACATTAATGTGGGCTTGATATTTCTTTGATAACCAAGGATTATAAGGTACCACCCAACAGTTATCTACATTATTGCCTTTAATATTGATAACCAACCCATTATCACGACGCCTATAGCGCGGATAACCATTGTGAACAGCTACTGTGTTGGCATTAAAATCTTTAGGATATTTTTTGCTGCACACCCCATCTTTCATGCAGGGAGAATTTGAATTCAGTATCCCACATGGGCCGTGAATCATGCAAGTTTTGATAATATCATAAAGTTCACAATTAACTATCGGATCTGGAATTTCTGCACAAGTCAAATTATCGATATCCTGTGATGTTTCAAGTTTATCATCGTTTGCTAAATGAAGTAAAATGTGGGCATGCGGCAAACCATGCTTTTGAAACTCAATAACCTGAACATGCGTTACAACTTTGCCTAATACACCATGTTTGAATATATCATTGAGGAGGTTATTTAACTTGAGTTTAAATACTCGAGTAACCAAATCAGGTCTATCATTCGCATTCTGACCCGGATATAAATTTTTTGTTATTTCACGCCATTTTGGGTTGCAAGTAAAAGTTATAAAAAGATCTGGTTTACCATACTTTTTAATAATTGCCATAGCATCTTCAAAGTTTTCTTTTAAAGCTCTAGGACTACCTACATAAGATGATGGCAAAACTACTACTCGTCCTGGTCTAATATTACGATCATTGGCAATGTTGTTAATATGTTCATGTAAGACATCGTACTGCTCGCTTCTCAGCTTATTTTGATTATTTCTGATAAAAGCAAGACGCTGGCCTTCAATTTTTACATATGCATCTACAGCATATTGCTGAAATAGTTTCTTGCCATAAAATAATGAACAGAAAAATTGCCTAACAGAAAGTCTATAATTGTAGAACTGAGATAATGTAACATGATTTCTCACCAGTGTGGCACGCTCAGGGTTATGCACCAATTGATTATGCCAACCAGCATCACCTCTTGGAAAAAATAGCGGATAAACCATAGGATCCAAGTTGGCTGACATACTTGATACAATTTTTAAAGGATGACCTCTTGGGTAAATAACAACTTTCCTGGAAGTTGGGGGAGCACCATCTTCGCCAACAAATACAACTGCAACTTCATCATGTGAAGGTAGATTATAACGACGTCTATCACCGCCTTCAAATAAAGACATTTTTACAACAGAAGCTGAGCGACCTTCTATAGCCGCCTTACGAATTTCTTCATCTTCTACTTCAGCCATGTTTTTAAATGCAAGAGCAAATGGACTTTGTTCCATAATTATAGTTTGCAATTGAAACATTAAATCACGTAAACAAAGATCATTAGCATAGTGTTGCATTCTAAAATTTAGTGCAGCAAGTGGATCATAAATATATAGTTGAGAATATATTGGTGGATTATTTTGATCTGGCCTAAGATTACCTACACGATGAAAAATCTGGCCACATATTTTAAAACATGGAAGCCCATGATTCATTGGTTGAACTACATTTGCTGTAAAAGAAGCAAAAGAAAGGCAGGCATTATAATTTCGAATATGTTTTAAAAAATTAGCATTAGCATTACAATCTACATAACTCCCTGTAAACAAATCCTGTAAAGCTTGTGTAATTGGTGAAAGTGGAGGCAAAGCTACCTTACCATTATGGCAACATAGAAAATGTGTTTCATCTGGAAATTTCTTAGCACCATAGTGCTGACAAATTTGATTCATTTCTCCTAAATAATTATAATCTGGAATAGCATTACTTCTCGCTATAGAATACATTCGTCCTTGTCCAACAGCTTTTCTTTCATTTTGGCGACGATTAACATTATCTCGATCGAGCCTATTTCTTTCATTTTGTAAACAATTAATTTCATCTCGCCTAAGTCTATTTCTTTCATTTTGTAAACAATTAATTTCATCTCGCCTAAGTCTATTTCTTTCATTTCGTCTACGATTATTTTCAACACGCCTTATAGCACTTACATCATCTTGTAAATACAAAACTACATCTAGCCTATCATCCATTTCAATGTCATCATTTTCATTAAACATATTTATTAAAGCAACACTAATTAATTCTTTTTTTTTTACTAATCTAAAGTTAACAATAAAATAAAAAAACTTATTAACTAAAAAAATCATACCCAAAAAATTAAAAAAAAAAATTTTCAAAACAAATATATATAAAGAAACCAAACAAATGCAAAATAAAATTAATTTGCCCTCATCAAAAGTAATACAGGTTTCTTAAGTTTATTTGATAGAATTTAAGAAAAACCTGCAACCACATCAGCAAAAACTTATTAAAACTTATTTTATTTCTAATAAAAGAAAAAAAAAAATTGCGACAGCGTCATAGTTCATGCGTTGGGAGAAAACATTGAACAAAACACGTAATAAAACTTATTAATGCATTATTAATGCATTATGTACGATAGAAAACAGGTTATTAACGCAGGTTTATAAATTTTTTCCTCCTAACACACTATTATGCTGTCGCAACTCCAAGGATATATATAGTTATATATAGTTATATATAGTTATATATATATATATAGTTATATATAGTTATATATAGTTATATATAGTTATATATAGTTATATATAGTTATATATAGTTATATATAGTTATATATAGTTATATATAGTTATATATATATATATATATATATATATATATATATATATATATATATATATATATATATATATATAGTTATATATAGTTATATATAGTTATATATAGTTATATATATATATATATATATATATATATATATATATATATATATATATATATATATATATATATATAGTTATATATATATATAGTTATATATATATATATATATATATATATATATATATATATATATATATATATATATATATATATATATATATATATAGAACTATTTATTAGTGAAAACATATGAAAACCAAAATTTTTTATATAATATATATAGTATATATTTGATAAATAAACCTATATAATTTCTTTGGTTCAACAACTCGATAATGATTAATAACAACTCTGTAAACATGAATTTTCTAATAATTTAAATCTTAATAAATTATAACAATTAACTACTTATTTAAACAAATAATTACTTATTAAATTTTAAAAAGATTTTATATATACGTAATGTCTACTTAGAAATACTTAATGTCTATTTATACATTAAAAAGATCTACAATTTTGAAAACCTGAAACTTTAAATCTACCTCAAAAAAAACAGATATATATTGAAAAGTATTTTTATTTCTTTTTAAAAATTTAAAAATGTTTTTTAACTTACTCCCTCCAATATTATTATATAATTTATAGTATATATTGATAAATAAACCTCTACAATTTCCTTGGTTTAACAACTTTTTTAAACTTGGTTTAAAAAAATTTCTAATAAATACATATTTAGATACCTTAAAATGAAGCATAACACAACACTCTTTTGACAAATTCTAGAAGAAATTTTCTTAATTTTTTTATTCCTTTTTATTTTTCCTTAGAGAATGTATATATGTAGATATAGAGAAATATAAAATAGACTGAAATAAATCGAAAACCTTAATTTATGTATGAGAAAATAACTTGAACTTACTAAAAAAGCGATCAGCTTCTCTAAAACTGCTCTAAAAAATAAAACAAATACTGCTTAAAATGTTTGTTGTACTAAATAAACTATTTTACCAGTCAATTTAGTTCTAACTTAATCTAAAAAATGAAAAATAAATACATATTTAGATACCTTAAAATGAAGAATAACACAACACCCTTTTGACAAATTCCAGAAGAAATTTTTTTTATTTTTCTATTCTCAATTATTTTTGCTTAGAGAAAATACATATAGATATACATATATATATATATACATAGCAAACTAACAATTATTTAAATTTTTATTTTAAAAAACAAACAACATTAATTCTTCTTGAAAATAAATGTATCAGCTCCAATTTGATTGCTGATTTTACTCGAATGACCGCATGGAATATGTAACTGCGCTTAGAAAATTCTAGAGGCAAAGAAATAGTATATTTTACATAATGCAGAACCGTAATTAACAAAATGAACAATAGGCGTAACAATGCGTAACTATGCGCACTATTAATATTCAAAGGCTATTCATTATAGGCGATTTATTTAAGTATATATTTGTCTTTAGTGTCTAGTGGAAGTATAGCTGGTAGGGCTGTGTTTTATATTTTATATGTTTTGTATGGAGAAATATGTGTAATAGGTGGAAAAATTAATTAATAAATATGACATTTTTGAACTGGTTGCATTATTGTCCTATATATTTATTAAAATACAAAATGTTGCATGTTTAACCTTTTTTAATTTGCTCTTTTTTTTTTTTTTTAGCATCTTCTGTTTCGAATGAAAATGGTGAGGTTGTGCTGATTTTTTTTTTTTTTTAATAATTGCAAATGTAGAATTTTTATTATATTCTTCTATTTGTAATTTTAGATTCCTTATCATTCGAAGATTACAAAAATTACCGCTCCCAACACCCAGGACGGTTTTTTTTTTTTTTTTATTTTTGTAATTTTTTGTATCGGTGTTTTTTTTTTTTTTAATTTTGTAATTTCTTTTCAAATATATATTACGTGGTATATTTGATTTGTTTTGATCTTTTTTAATGAAAATTTTAATTGTTTTCTCACCAATTAAACCTTACTTCAAATTTAAAGCCCTCTTAAATACCCCTCCCTAAAATCTAAAGTCTAAAGTTGAATTGATTCATTATCCAATTATCATAATATAATGATGCTGCGTTCTTTTGTTAAAAACAATTATTTGGTATGTTTCATTTATTGAACTCACTGCTTTTAAAATTTACCAAAACCCAAGGCAATATATTTAGCGATATAAATACAATTTATTTATCTCGATTCCATTCTTCATCTTTTATGTTTATAGTTTGGCTACTTGAAGCATTTTATGTTTTGCTTTTTTATTATGAGTATTTTAAATCCGTTGTGATGTCTTTTAAATTAAACTAAAGTTTACTAAAAGCCAACATAAAAATTACGTTTTTGAACAACACCAAAAAGAACAGCTGCACCCCTACAGCAACTGCGGCAGTATCACAATAGGTTACCAAAAGCAGGTATACTGTTTTCCAGTTGTTGTTTTTTTTTTTTCATATATATCTACTTATCTATATAATACTATAGTACGATTGTTTAAATCTCATTCATTTTTTTTTTCTTTATCTTAAAGTGTTAATAATTTTGTTCTTTGAATAAGATTAGTTAAACAAGTCGGCTTTTTATTAAAGATATTGGTTTCAAAATTGAAAACCATTGGCAAAATGCTTACAAAATTAGGTAGTTTTTAAAAATCTGTTTTCTATTTAATACACTTTTTTTTAAATATACTTTTTTAATATACTTTTCTATAACAATCCTACTAATATGGAATCACGTAGCTTTTTAAATACGTTTAATTGTCGTCCCTATCAGTAATAAATATATTAAATTATTTGATATGGTTTTCTTTACAATAGGCTATGCTTGGCTCCTTGGTGCTGTAAATAGTGGCTTCAACTTTGTTTTTTTAAGAAAAATGTGTTTTATATGTTTTATCTGTTTTAAAATATTTTTGTTACATATTTAACTATATATCACGTAAATAAATTTCTTTTAAAGATAAGTAAACTTGATACTTGCTTTTTTACGGATTTTCAAAAAGTGAACAAATGTTTAAATATATTTTTTACCTGTCTTATATGATTTTATCAATTTTATTAAAGCTGAATAATTAATTCAAAAGTATTGAGTAAAATCCAATTGCTTTTATTATTAACCTGATTTATAAAAAAATTAATGATATATATTTAATAATCTAATGCCAAGTTAAGGCAAAATGTATTCCGGACATTTTATAAAATTAGTATAAATATGGATTAGATGTATGCTGAAATAAATATATATTTGAAATAAATGATGTATGCTGAAATAAATATTATATAATTGATACACGTTAGCTATTATAGTAAATCCATATATTCAATTATTGTTTTTTTATAAGAAAGTTTCTGCTGGATTACTAATTAAAAAAAAGGTTGGTTTAATAATAATCTCTATCATAATAATATAGGATTCGTATGCAGGGTAAGCCCTTTTCGGAATTGCGATATATTTCTCAACTTATAGTTTTTCCGGATATCCAACTT